GCTTTTGTTCATTATATCTAGCTTCCCGTTTTAGTTGATATTTTTTCTTCCTTTCTTTCTTATTGTGACCAATTATCGCTGAGTTAACAAATGACAACTTGAAACGAAACAAATTCGTGCTGAAATTTATCTTTTGTATGACCAGTTGAGTGGTTTTCCTATATATTTCAATGAACAGTAATATAAGATATGTATGTTATCATCCATTATGGATCATTTGATTCAAAAATATAATCATGTATTGTTCGATGTTCTCCCACAAATTATTTAACCTGTTATTTTCAAGTTCAAAAAATATTTCTTTTATTAATAAGCATTTAATGTGAATAACTGAATCAAAATAAACTCAAATAAAAAGCTTATAGATTAGAAAATATCTTAGATATAAACTTGACCAATTATACACTTCATCAAATAAGAACTTTCATCTAAATTTGATCGAATAGTTTCACAGTATTTGAGCGCCAAGTTTATGTCAGACATTAAAGAGGAAAAATGTATTAGTAAAATCTCAGTGAATGAATTTGGATTCAAATCCAACGTTTCACCTGGCAATCTGGTCCAAGCTTTTTCAAGGAAATATAGTCAAACATCAAAGTTATCGAATATAAATAGGTACATATCCGACAATTTTGATGTTTGATTATATTTCCTTGAAAAGGCTTGGACCAGGTTGCCAGGCGAAATGTTGGATTCGCATCGAAATTTATTCGCTGAGATTTTACAAATGCATTCTTCCTCTTTAATATACACTTCAATATTTTCATAAAGGGATTTTGTAGAGATTGTAGTAATCTAATAGTTGGATTCATGGTTCGATTAAAGCTAGACTATCTTGGAAAACCTGGGAGCACCAGACCACTGTTTTGTCCTACTAAGAGACTCCTCAGGAGTGAGCATCCATGATCCTGTCCTCAGGATTTAAAACCTGGGCCTATCGGTCACGTGCGCGAACGTTTAAACTGTAGACCACTTAGCGGGTATCCAAACAGTGTTAATGTCTAACTTCAAGCAATCCACGAAATTGCGCGACTGGCCACCATTGTCTTCAGTGAGTTATACATATGGGGATTTCGAAAGCCAAAACCACACTAATTCATAGACTTGCAGGAACTTATCATAAATACGAAATTTTAGCTAAAAAATGATTGATATGGTCTCTTCTGGGTGTAAATATAAACTATATGATCAAAATGAATGGTGGATAAGATTTTTGAAAAAAAAGGATTAGTGATAAAATTGTTTTTATAAAGAACATGCAAATTCAATTACTAATTATATTTTGTATTAAATACTAGATTAGATTGTAGAAACTAAAACATCAATAATAAGATTGATTTAAAGCCCATTTCAAGCACGAAACGATACTATTTATAATTTTCCAACATTTTATATTGATAACATAGGTTTTTGTCAAATCGATCGTCCCATAAGAATTTGTTCTCTTTCGAAACCTCTAGCACAACTATGACGAACAATGAAATGTATGGGTAGTTTACTTTTAATTAATTCATTTATTTCTGGCAACATAAGATATTTCTAAAGTTAAAATGAAATTGTTTGTATAGTAAGTCAAGTTTCTATTGTATAACTAAAGTAACCTATAATGCCTTTGAAACAGAATCAAAGATAATTCAGTGGAAACAATTAATTCTCAGCAATATCATTTGCTCAAACTATACAATCATTCCTATAGTTAGCTACCAGATAAAATAGTTTATTCAAAAATAGAAGGACGATAACATAATTTCATGTGTCAAAAGAAAGCTGTGCAACGACAGATGATAAAATGTGATGTGTTAAAAAGTAATCGACCACTTGGCAATTATAAGAAAGATGAAGAACAAATTAGAAAACGTAAAATTAATAATAACAAATAATTAAAATTAAAAAGACTGAAAACATCAGAAGGATATGTTGACTACCAAATTATCATCCACAAAATTAAATGTTAGGAACAAGGAAGATTAGGAGCTTTCACAAGTCACTTTTACACACAGAGCTCAGGCTTAGAAAGGTTACTTAGCAACAATTCTGGAACAAATACGTTAATTGTTCGCGCTCCTCTGAAACTAAATCGCTTGATTGCATAGAATATTTTGAGGTATATTTCAGATGGGGTCATGTGTTTTGAGTTCGCAAGATGTTTTAATATTGAACTACTAGTTGTTTTACATACACCTTTCGAAAGCCAAGCAGAACATTGTTCAGAGATGAGTTCAGAAAGCTCTCGGTTTGTGTGACCAATGTAATTAGCCCCACATCAGCAAGTGCACTTATTAAATTATTTATATATACTTAGATTGATATGGACCATTCACTAACTCTGGAGATTTCTAATCATCAACTGGAATGCCATTCATTTTTTGAATATAATCTTTTATGTCAAATCCAGAACTAGTCCGCTTTAAACAATGTACTCATCAGTAGGTTTGATAGAACATTAATTTCTTCATAGATTCAAAAATTTCTATCTTAATAATACTTTTATCACTCTATTTATTGAGCTGATATTATTATCGAATTTTCGTAAGAAAGTCATTAATCCTGTTCGTAGGTATATCAGGTAACTGAACTACATAATTTCTATTAAAAGCTTCCTAATTATAACTAAAACATTAGTTTATTGTGGCACTCTACAAAGTTATAGAATAATAAACCCCATATTAAAACCATAATTCCTAAAGAGAACAGTAACATTGTGGATATACTTCTTATGTTTAATTTAAAATAAATGTTATGATAAATGCTTCAGTATACATTTTACTAAAGTACAGTCACAAATTTGTAACTTTTTTCGATAACCTCGTCTATTTACTTTACAAAATCAAGAAGAATTTACTCCGGTTATTTAATCAGTTGTAATCTGATGTTGGGATATAAATGTGTCTTGAAATTTTGGTATTCGGTAATATTACCCAAAAGCTCCATGAATATTGTAGCGTTAAATTTAATTTTGATTGTTTGAAATCATTTTCAACAGGATGTTAATGGTTCTTTTTTTTATTACAGCTAATTAAACTGTATCGACATTTTTTCTGCAAACTCTCCTTCTACACACTAAAGGAACATGATAGAATACTCATATGTTTGATTGCTTTTTGGTAATAATGGGATAGGCAGAAAAGCATCCCTTCAATTTTACACTTAATAAACATATAAAACACTACTTAGAATATTATTTTACTACTTAGAATGGTTAAAAACGTAGTAATCAAATGCATCATAAGTTCAGTACTATCTCACTTAGCCCTATCGAAAATAGTCTATTATTTTCAAGAATATCTAGACAATATTGTTGTTATTTTCTTTCTTTTTTTATGTTATACCGTTTAATAAACATACCAAAGCCATTAGCTGACAACATTTTTCAACTAGACCTATACATACAGAACTATGTGTTCTGTTCACCGCTTCTGACTTAATGTCAATATTATGGCAATCCGTATAGGATTCACATATGTCCATAAGTGGTTAATCAATTGCAGTTCTAAACATCGACAGGAAGATTCAAAAAGACAATACAAAGATGAATAACGATAAGAAAGATATTATGCACATAATGGTGTTGAATCCGTGTAAATATTTTCATTTATGGTCTAATAATCATTACCTACCTCTACATACCTACTCATCTCGTACATAATCTAATTATTGTTCACATATCTAATTTTATTTCTTAGCATGTTGAATGACTATACAGTCAATCATCAATTTCATAACGTTTGCATAACAACCTCTCTTATCTTCATTATGATTATCAGTAACTATAACACTTAATCTACACTGCATTACTGTTTTCCAACAAATAAATATATAATGACTTTAATTATGCATATTTTCATACTTTATGTTTCAGTCTTCTTCTTATTATTATTTTCGATACGCTTCGAACATTTGTTTAAACTTCACAAACTAAAGTATCTTGTCAGAACGTGGGTTTGTGGAGCTTGTGATAATTTTGAAAGCCGAATTTATGAGTCTATTTAAGCTTGACCACCATTGAAAACTAGAATGCACTGGACGGCAGTTTTGTCCTACTATTGAACTCCTCAGCAGTGCACATCCTTGGTCTCGCACTCTGGATTAGAATCCAGGATCATAAATCTCACGTGCGAACAATTAACCTCAAGACCGCTGAAGAGGAATCCAACGGTGTTAATTTCTAATTGAGTCCTAAACTAAAACGAAGAGGAGGTCTAGTGCATCCCAGTTTTAAATAATGGTCCAGTTTAAATTGACTCATTAATTCAACTATTAAAGTATTTGAAACATTTGTTAATATTTCTATTAAGAATTATAACTTTAGACTATACCCAGCTGATGACATGCCGTCAAATCAAATATAAATTTGCTTTATTCTATTAACTTCGTTTTTGTTGTTCTGCTTAAATTAATAGATGTCCAACTGAAAACCAGAAGTCCTGGAACTAAATAGACATTCAGTGACTTGCTGTTTTTGAAAATCGCCTAACTGGCTTTAGATCATAATTGAAACCACTTTTATATTTTAATTTTATTCTTATTCAGATATTTATATGGCTATCGATTCCAAAGAATGTCAAGTCTTTAGCGTACTAGCAAACTGCAAATAGTTTTATAATCGTTTAGAAGATTATAAGCCCAGACTGACGATTGTAATAGTCTCTCTGAGTTCAAATAATACAACACAAGGAAGAGAGATAATTCGGCTGAAGAAAATATTGTTAACACGAAATCAGCAATAAACGCCTCAACAATTAGCTGATCGCGCTAAAAACTTGGATAACATATATTTAGATCAAGGTAATAAGCAATTAGCTAGTTATATCATTAAAAACACCATATTTTATCTATTTTGAGCCTAAAATTACTATAAATTAGGTTGACCAATCAGATGAAACTGTAAATTGGGTAAGTTAGGATTTTTAATTCCGATTGGTTATTAAAATTATTTTGCCTAAAATAGTAGGATTGTAATCAAATCAGGTATAAAGTTTACTTTGTCATTATATTCAAACACACATAAATACAATGCATGATATGGCCAAACAGTTTAGTTATCTAGTTGTTTATTAATAGCTACCGACAACTGCGAACTATCATTATTACAAATATACTGGTCTAGAGAAGTTCAATAATTATTACTTTCATATTACATAATTCAAAGGAATATCATAACAGTTAAGGTAGTGAAATTTGTTATTCACTTAACAAGTGTCTGATATTAACTCAAACAGGTGCAAAATATATGTTTTGCTTTTGCAACCTGTTCGACGGAATAGAAAGTACACTATGATTACACCCTACCTATAACCTTCATGGCCCTAAATACTATTCACTAACCCTGGGAATTTATAACACTACTAATATCAACGAATCTTTTGACAAACATATAAACAGAAAAATCTCAAAATATATTCTTCGCGTTCATTTAATAATTGATCATGTGTATTCTATGATATTCAATTTGGGGACAAAAAGTAAAAACAGACGGTTCAATCAATAAAACACGATTTTTTAAATAAAAAACGTTTGAATTTTATCACAAGAATCTACATTCTCATATTATGGATAATCGTGGCAGAAAGAAAAATAAATCAATCTCTTGTTTAGATGAACAAACCGACACTATCACTTCTGTTAATCTCAATAAACAAAATAATATTAACACAAATAGCAATAATACTGATAACATTACCAGTAATAATAGTAACAATAAACACTTTACGACATCATCACCTTCAACTTCATCATCACCAAAAATGAAAACATTAAGAACAACGATAACAACAATTAAAACACCAGCAATGAATAGTCCTGCTCGGAAGATTATGAATACATCATCTTACTCACCATCATCACTATCCTCTGATAAATCAACAATGGTAACAGTTAAAACAAGTCAAAATATTGATAGTGAAAATCAAAATGGTCAACAACAATCATCGTCATCATCATTAGCACAGAATGCAAACAACACAACTAAAGTGGATACTAATAACATTCATAGTTTTTCATCAACCGATTCTGGTCGTAGTAGTATAAGCAGTAGTCAGACAAGTAATGGTGAGGAAGTCTCCGAGAACAGATTTGATAAAACTAAAGTTAATTCATTGACAGTAACAAAAACTGATGTCGGGTCAGATAGTCATAAATTAGATGGTAGTAGTAAGAGTAGTAGTAATAATAATAGTAACAATGATAACTCTATTGATGGTTTACCGTCTGTTTCAAGCGAACTGGATATCTATTCTGATGTGACACTTATTCCAAGATCAACTGTAACAGTTGATTTCACTATAAAACCAGGGAAAAAATCTACGAAACGTGTTAATGGACGTAAACCAGTCAAAGGGATTAAAACAACTACACGACACAATGCTGGTAGAACAAAACAAAATGAACTGGTAAGTTGAAACTAAAGAAAGAAATGTAATTCATACTTGTATATTAATTATAATTAATTATCAGAATGGTTTTTTGTGGAGATTGTAGTAATCTAATAATTGAATTCACGAGTCATTTAAAGCTAGACCACTGTGGAAAGCCTGGAAGCACTAGATGACCGTTTCGTCCTAGTATGGGACTCCTCAGTAGTGCGCATTCACGATCCCGCTCACGAAACTTCAATGAAAGATAACTCACTATTCAATAGTTCTAGATCGCTTAAGGAAGTGACATTTGAAGGTTTGATTCTTTAGAGGCGGGCATATTTGCATATATATATATATATATATATATATATATATCCTTATCTTGGTTAAACAGTTTTGGGTCACCCAGAATATACATTATTTTCCTTAAACAAGCAGCATTACAATTAATATATAGCATGGTTAAGTGGTTAATTACGAAATTGGTCCATCTGTATTAATCGTACAACTACTTTGAGAAGAATTTAGAAATGTTGATCAACATATAGCGCTTGATTTCGTCAGTTAAATTGAAATTTCATGTTTTAGATTCTGAAAAGGATGATTTAGTGCTAAGTGGACTAAACTTGAAATGTTCTAGTAATTACTCATTTCAGAGTTTTTATTCTTTCAATAAAATGTAATGACTTGAATAATCGTAAAGTATTCTGGATTGCGACTAGAAATATAACGCAGTAAGGTAGTATCATCCCATTTGAGGCTTATCGACTGTCAATATCTGCATCCAAATTTCGAAGTTCAAATTATGTGTCAATTCCAGTATTTATCGCTTAAAGTACCAAAACGTTGTTCAGTAAGCTACTGAGTTCAGATTCCCATTACCTGTTCACTATATATTATGTTTTTGGTAAAAATCTCTATTATTTTCTTCTTGATATCCAATATTATAACTGTCCAGTCTTAGTTAACATATGTATTTCCTTAATATGTGGCTTGATTAAACTTTTCAGTTACTACATTTCAATTGTTACTATCAATGTAAACTGTTTAATCACAGTAATGGTCAAAAAAGAATATAATCTACTTTTAGAAACATTACTCTGTCCTGTCTGTATTGTTCATAACATCACTACTCCTCATCATGACAATAAAAGCGGAATTTTATCTCACAAGTTAATAACATCATTTGATCGCTTGAATACTAGTTTATAAAGCGTTTACCTGATGAACACAGTAGTTTATGATAAACGTTTACTAATATTACTCTATTTTCAGACATTAGACCACGATTGAAATAGAGCAAGTTAATTAAGTTACTAGTTTGACAAGAAAATGCTATAATCATTCTACGGATATATATATATGCCCATGTATCCATATAACCATCGTACAAATGCAAAAATGATCCAGTCCATCATAACTAAAACAATAATTAGTTTTGATGAAATCTTCTCAGTCTGTAACCTCCTATTTAAATATGTATACTGAATATTGATTTTAACACGACTATTTAGAATATAATATACATTAAAATAATTCATTCAATACAATTAATTTGCCATATATTACAATAGGATACTAAAGCAACATTTTAGGTAACATTAGAAGATACTGATTATATATTATATGCTATTAACAAGTTAAATTAGAAAAAATCTGCTTTAAAAAATCATTAATTATGTGTTCAACATTTAATAAAGGTGAAGTTTATCGAACTACCTTTTTATTTGAAAGATTTTGTAAACATATTAAGATTAAATCAATATTTAGTTACCAACCTAACTGTTTGTATTATTTGATTTTATTAAATAATAAATAAGTAAAATGAGATTGTACTTTAAATAGAATAAGTGTTATTGCAATTAGAACAGAATATATGTTTGTATGAATCAATGATATTTTTGATTGCAAAAGATTGCTCATAATTAGTAAAATTACTTATTTAAGAAGTTAGGACACTTTGAATGAACCTACGGAATTATTTTATAAGTAAGCCGCAGACTCGACATTTTAACGGAGGGAGTAGCAGAGACTGAGGAAAAGAATGTGGAACGGCAAGCATGAACCACCGCAAGAACGAATGCTTTAAAGGGAAGACGACTGTGGTGTGTGCTACTTATATCGACATAAGTAGTATATGACGTTAGTCGTGAACAGAATGTCGGACGGCAGAGAGACAAGGGGATAGGACAGTAAAGAATGGAGACAGAAGGCAATTTGTATGGAAATGCAAGAACAATGAAGTCTGAGTCATTTTAAGACAATTGGTGGACATTTTGCAAATTAAGGATTTACTATATGAATGTTAGGTTTTATTAACAAGTCCTGTAGTTTTGTGTTAAATACATACGATTGTCCCCACCCATGTTCTGTTCACTACATCACCACTGAAAGCTGAAACGTTTGCGTCAAGTTCCTGAATTTTCAACCAGTGAACTTTAAAGCTCAAACAGTATTATATAACCTTTCAATATAACGCATTTAAAGCGAATCTAAGGCAATAAACATCTTGATTCCAGTTAGAATTTCAAATACTTTTTGATAGAGATTCCAGTTGATAAATCTGAGAAGGATCGATATTTCACAGATGTATTGGTTAATTCGAACATTCTTGGTATTAGACCGTATTAAAAAATCAAGAGGGAGTATTGGACTAAAATTAAAAAAGCATTTTAATACCTTCTTTTTTCTTAATACTACACTAGTTTATATCGTTTCTTGACGAAATCGCTTAGAGTTTCTACAAAACTGCCTTAAAGTGTGAATTTTTTCAATGATTGTCCAATGAATGCGAACTAATGGATGTTTTTTGTTAAGTTCATAAATAAATATGTTTGACTGAAATTGAAATAAACGTTAATGATGGGTCGATACTTGAATTTGAAAGTCATGAACAAACCGCAAACAAAAGCCCTATATTTATTTTGTTTTATCTGTTGAAATCTTCCCAATGATGTTTAGAACTACAATTGATCAGTCTCTTATAGGACGAAACGTGCGTCTTAGTTTCCACTGTTAGCCACCATCTACCTTTGCTTAAAAAATCTTACATGTTCTTCATATATGTTTGGTTATCATTGATAGAAAGCTACAGAAACTAATATGCATTGTTTTCAAGTCTTACTTAATTGATTATTGATTTTAAAGTAAAAAAAAAAGAATAATGAAAAAACATTTAAGGGAGTGGCATAGTACACATTAAATCTATTCAGTGTGAAAAGGAACTAATGAGAATAAAACGTTTTATTAGTGTAACAAATTAGTGAGTGACTTTTTTCTCTTGTTACTTAAATTCCCTAATATTTCGATACAAAAAGAATTAATCTCAAATGATGTTCCTGTCATGTGATTTACATTACTGACTAGAAAAATTTCTTTATTAAAATTTTGTATTAGAGTAAATGGAAAATGTGACCGAAAGAAAATGGTAATTACGAGTTTTAATGTATTAATTTATTTCTACATTGTATTTATTATGGGAATGTTGTTTTTATAATTATTGTCCACCATAGTTTAAGTTAGTTGTATGTTGATTGATATATACTTCGGTTTTATTAATGCTTCATTTTATTATAAAATTTTTATAGTTCCCATGGTCAATCACCACAGATTCCAACTTATTATACTGTTTAACTGATAAAGTTGATCAGGAAATGTTTACTGGGTGATTTGATTAAATCATTGAATCAGCCAATAAATTTATTAGCATGAGTTTTTGTGGAGAATTTTAGGAAATTTCACAGGTTGAAATCATGAGTCAGTTGAAGCTAGACCACCATTGAAAACCTGGAAGCACTGGACGGCTTCAATGAACGGCTTCATGATTTCAACCTATGGAATTTCCTAAAATTCTCCACAAAAACTCATGCTAATAATCAACTGCTCACTAGTGACTGACCTCAGGAGAACCTCCTGGAGTTCTAGTGAGAATCCGTCACCAGTGGAGTTCAACCAGGTCTGTTGTGAGATATCAGCTCACTGAAGACCATGGTGTTCGATGGCGCAACTTCGTGGGCTAGTTGAATTTAGACATTAACACCGTTGGATGCCGGTTCAGTGGTCTAATGGTTAAGTGCTCGCGCGCGAAGCCAGTAGGTTCTGAGTTCGAGCCCCGCGTGGTGCGGGATCGTGGATGCACACTGCTGAGGAGTCCCATGCTAGGACGAAACGGCCGTCCAGTGCTTCCAGGTTTCCCATGGTTGTCTAGCTTCAAATGACTCATGATTTCAACCTGTGAAATAAATTTATTGACTACTAGATCAGGGCCTACTGGAATATACAAACTATCTACCTTAATTTTTCAGAATAGTTATAGTTTACGGTTATAGACTTTTATAATGTGATAGCTAGAATAATAACCTAAGTGGTTTTATTCTTAACCTTTTTTGAATCCTAAATTTTTGTTACTCATAAGCAATAGTATTTTTTGGATTTATGTCAATTTTATTCTTTCGAAATCCTCTAATTGTACTAATCAAAAGTGTAGTAACATGTCTCTACGATCATTTATACTACATTTAACATAGTTAAGGCTTGAATAAATTTTTACTTAAGAACTTAACTTAAAGAAATCTAGGTAAGCAACTTTTAAATTATCATTATTTACTAAGTTCTCTAGACAGAAAACATGTGATTAAACATGTAAAGTGAAAAAGAAAGAAACAATTAACGTGCTTCAAAGTAACAATAAACCAACTTCATTTTCAAAATCATATGACATTCATTTCATAAAAGAGAAACATACATCATTTATTTGATAAATGATATAATGCTATTTAATAATACGAATAACTATTCATCTAGACCACCAGCCATGTTATCCACATATTACCAATAAAATGGATATTAATCATAGTATTCTTGATATGTTTTTTCATTCATCATATGTAATAAGGTAATATGCTCATATTTTCAGGACTCAACTGAATAACAGATGAAATGAATGATTAGAATAAATGCTAACGATCATTACTTCCATGTAGCTATTTCTGTTTTTCAGTAATATCAACTCAATAATTAATCAACATAGTTTT